GATTTTGATGATTATATTAATTGTATAAAGGAGAAACAAACCAATAAAATGAGATTTGAAACCAATAGGTCATTAGATGTCATAGATCTTATACATACAGATATTTGTAGATTATTTCCTACATCTGTTTGGAATGGTCAATAATATTTTATAACGTTCATAAATAATTTTTTAAGATATAACTATATATATCTCATTTCTGAAAAAACACAGTCATTAAACATATTCAAAAATTTTAAAACTGAAATTGAGAATCAAATCAACAAAAGAATCAAAAGCGTTAGATTTGATCGTGGTTGTGAATATTTGACAGATATGACGGTTCAGGTGAATAACGTCCAGAGTCATTTGCTAAATACCTAAAGGAATGGTGTAGTTAAAAGATGAAATAAAATGCTTAAAAATATAGTTAGGAGTATGATATGTCATTCTATCTTACCAGAGTCACTCTGAAAAGAAGCATTTAAGATTGCAGCATATATCTTTAACAGAGTTTCATCTAAAGTAACTATCAAAATTCCTTATGAGTTTTGGATAGGTAAAAAGTTCAATTTAAAATATTTACATATTTAGAAATATCCAATTTAGGCAAGACCTTATAGATCAAATGAAAAGAAACTGGACTCAAGAATGATTGGTTGTAATTTTACTGGATACTCTAAAAGATTCAGAAGTTACAAGTTTTATGATCTCACGACTAAATCGATTTTTGAGATGAAAAATACTTGATTCTTTGAGGATATCGAATTTGGGGAAGAAACTACAGTAAGGAATCTTGTCTTTGAAGAGGAATATGTTAATATTTTCACAGATGTCATTGATCTTATTCAGGATCCTATTTATAATCTTGATCATGATATAATAAATCAAAATAATATCGAAGAATAAAATGTTATAGAAGAACAAACTCTACCTCTTTAAGAATCAATGCCATTAAGAAGATTCATTAAAGAAAGGAGAAGTGCAGCAACAGATAATGACATTATTTTTCTCCAAGAACACGAGGATGACACTGGATTGATTGAAGATGATCCAATCAACTTCCGTCAAACCATGAAAATTTTAAATTCTCAAAAGTGGATTGATGCCATAAATGAAGAGATTAAATTCATGAAAGACAATGATATTTGAGATCTTGTCCCATTGTCAAGAGGAGCAAAATCCATTAATTATAAATGGATATTTAAAATTAAAAGAGATTCAAAAGATAATATGAAAAGATACAAAACTCATCTTGTCGCTAAGGACTTTACATAAAAGGAAGGTATCGACTATAAAAAAACCTTCTCTCCGATTTCTTTGAAGAACTTTTTTAGAATTATCATGACATCAGTGACATATTTCAATTTTGAGTTATATCATATGGATGTAAAGACAGTATTTTTCAATGGTGACATTGATAAGATGATCTATGGATGCAAAAAATATCATTTGCAAATTTAAAAAATTCATTTATGAATTCAAGCAAGTATCTCGACAATAGTATTTCAAATTTCATCAACTAATCATCTTATTTGATTTTGTGATAAATTTAGTAAATGATTGTATATACTATAGATTCTGTGGAGTAAGTATATTTTCTGGTATTGTATATTAATGATATTTTACTTGTCACCAATGATATAAGCCTATTGCATGAGATCAAAAAATTTCTAACTAAAAATTTTGAGATGAAAGATTTTGGTGATATATCTTTTGTATTAGACATACAAATACACTGGGACATTTTCAGAGTATTTTAGAACTATCACAAAAGGGTTATATCAAAAAAAATTTTAAAAGATATAACATGTAAAAATACAAATCAGGTGACACTCTGTGGTTAAAGGAGATGAATTTAGATTTGACCAATGTTCTAAGAATGCTTTTGAGGAAAAGGAAATACAAAAAATTTTTTATGCATCAGCAGTAGAGAGTCTAATGTATGCTTAGATTTGTATGCGTCTGGATATTGCGTACACTATTGGGATGTTAGGTAGATATTTATGCAATTTTGAATTAGATCATTGGAAGACAATCAAACAGATCTGGCTGTATTTACAGAAAATAAAAGACTATATGCTCACGTATCGGAAGTCAGATAAATTCAACGTCATTGGGTATACTGATTTCGATTTTATTGGACATCAAAATAGTATGAAATTATTATCAGACTATATCTATTTGCTAACTGGAGGTACCATATCCTTAAAAAGGTCTAAACAGTCTCTTATAACCTTTTCTACTATGATTACAAAATTTATAATTTATTATGAGACATCTAATCATAGAATTTAGCTGCAAAATTTTGTTACAGGATTACGTGTAATGGATGGTATCGAAAGACCACTAAAATTATTTTGCGACAATAAGTCAGCAGTTCTATATTCTAATAACAAAGCTCGACAAAATCTAAACATATAGATATCAAGTTCCTGACTGTTAAAAAAAGAGAGTAAAGAGTGGACAATTGTCGATAGAGTATATCGAGACAAATTTTATGATTGCGGATCCGCTTATTAACAGATTGCCACAAAAAATGTTTCATCAACATATTGCTCATATGGGTGTCATGTTATTAAATGATATTTAGTTTTAGTGGGAGTTTGTCATTTTAAATGTTCTTACGATATTGTATTTTTGGTTATCAATGTTTAAGAATATTTTTATGCATAAATAAAATTTAAATTTATTTATACTCTAATTTTGGTATGGTTTGATCTCATGAAAGTTTAAAATGGACCAATTGAAAATAGACATGTTATGATTACACTACATGATATTTTCATGTTACACATCCAAATAATGATTCATGTCATTCAATTATATCAATATATGTGACCATTGAGGGGTTGAATTACGAATTGTAACAAAAATCGCTTTGATCCTATATTGGTGTAATTAATAGACCGAATTGGTTGTAGATACGTTTTGATTATGACAGTAAAATTGAGCTCATACAGTTAATTGTAAAACATAATTATAAGGTTATACATATAGTTCAAATGGGTTATGGTTAGATCTTTAATCCAATGTTGGACTTATATATGATTAATTATGTGTTGTAAACTGTCAAATAAAATTAAATCCAATTAAAGTGATCAATTATGATTTGGAGTTTAATGTATCTAATAGGATGTGGGTTTTTAACGTGTAGAGACTTAAAAGTAATTTCTATTTGTATGATGGGTTGAACTAAAAATCTAAAAGATAACAAGAAAGTTATCTATAAATAGGAGTATGAGCCCCAAATCTCACGTATTCTTATTATCGTATTTTTAGTACCACAAAAATAACTCTTTCCTGACATCCCATCATTTAAGATACCAAGATACCAGAGAGAAACAAAAGGCATCTCTCAAGGGATTAGCGAATACATATCGATTTAGAAAACCACCCCAAAATATCTGAAGATTCAATTACCAGTTAGTCAACATGAATACAGGTATGCTTTCGCAATTTTACTGTTAATTTATTTCTTAATAATTATCATAAAAATTTTGAGTTTAATAAGTGATGGTTTTCACCAAAAATTAACATAAACAACCACCTAACACTTTATACCTATCAATAATCATTTTGTGATCACTTAAAATGACTGTTGGTTAGTACCACAGTCGAATTCTTTGTAGTTTACTTAATATTATCAAAATTTTGCATGCATATCAATTACAATAAAAGATAATTTTGACTGCTCTACTTTTGTAGAGGTAAAATATTTAGGGTTTTAAAGAAATTATTAATTTCATTATGGCTTACCTTATTTAGCAATATTTCTATCCTTTGATTATAGCAAAACCTTTGTGAACCAACTAGAGGCGGAGAATATTCTTTTAGTATTCTAAGTCAATATTCTTGGCACCGCAATTGAGGTCAATAGACATACATCAACTTTAAAAGATGGCTGACTCTAAAAATGCTCCATTATCATTGGAAACCAATGTTTACTATTAAAGAAAAGAAGGATCATCTTAATTCCATATTAATGAGAATTGACTTATCATAAAATTCCCTATTTCTAAAAGCTTGTTTCAAACTTTCAAATATGAAGTAAATTCCAAGTTGCCACTTCTTTTGATATTGATTTTTTTTTAAGTCAATCGTCAATTCTAGTCCTACTCCTATTCTAACCTATACTAGGAATGAATTCAATTGGATCAAAGCAAGCTAGAGAGAGGAGATACCTCTAGACTAGAGGATTGCACAGCTGCACTCTTATTGAAGTGATGTTATTATAATAGGCTAACAGTGCTTTGATACATCTATTCTTAGCAAATTGTATTCTAGCCACCCTGCCTATTAAGGAGCATCTAGAGATCGAAGAGAATTATTAGCAACTCTTCTCAAGTTTGCTAATTAATAATATCATCTGTCTGAGTGTTTCCAAAATCAAGTTAAAAGAGTTGGCTTACGCTTAATAAGGAAGACTTAGAAAATGAGCAAAAATAGTTAATCAGAAAACCTTGAATTTCCTCAATTTATCTTAATGATCAGGATCCTGTAAGTTATATTGGCGAGGCTAATTTTGACTGCAGGTTGCATATCTGCTTCTGGTTCGTTAGAAAGAGAACTTGTTCAACCACCCCCTTTCACTGTGGAAGTTGGGTGGATCATGTGAAGCGCTCTGATTTGCATGTTATGCTTCCAAAATAGTATTCATTAGATATCAGAGTTGGATTTCTTGGGGAGTTTTACCCAGAGTCCTTAGAAGTTCCCATAATAGCATGTTCCAGGAGCTGTTTATTGGTTCATCTGTGCAGCTTTTGATATCGATTTTTGTCCTCTCAGTTTAACTTATGATTGCAGGGTTTGGCCAAGTCTTCACATGGCATGCATAAAAAACAACCACGAGGTTTTCATTTCAGGGAAAGTAAAAGTGAAGACTTTAACATTCTTGTCTCAAGTGGATAGATGCTGCAGTGGATGGATCTTCTGGAGTTTATGCTTAATAACTGCAACAATGTTAATCAGAAAACTTTTTGGTTGCAAGTAATCATGCAAATGGATGTTGATCCGAAAACTTTTGGCATTGATAACTTGCAAACTGATGATTAATTCAAATTTCTTCCTTTAATATTAGAGCCTTTTCTAAGCCAATAACTTATTTTCTACACTAAAAAAAGTAGATACAGTACACCACCTAGTACCATCTGCAGTAAGCTGCTCACTATTAGATTAGATTACATCAGGCTGTGAAGGAGAATGGAGGTAGCAGCCTCAATCCATATTCCCATGAGGATCATCTGTTATCCAATTTGTGAAAAGTGGGCACACAAAAACCAGGATTTGGTGTTTGTTTTCTATACAATATAAAAATCCATGCATCGTGCTGAAAGTCCCGTCTTTGTGGAAAACATATTTTTGAGAAGTTCAATCTGTTAGATCAGAAGACAATATGGATTTCAATTGCCTGTGGTTTAATGAACTTGAGACTAAACTGAACAATATTTAGGATAAAAAGACGTAAATATGGATCAAATGCAAATAGGATTTACTATAGACAACAGCACAGTAAGCATGAAAAACAGTTTTTGCTGAAATCATGTTTGCGGCATAAAGTTGATTAGATGAGAGAAGTTTTTGTTGAGACTGCATATATCAGAGCTAGTAGATAGACAGGAACTGCAACAAATTTAACTCTTATCACTTTTCCATACCTTCAGAAGACTTCCATTGAATCAGCGAGCACTCCCTCATCATCCCACTGTACATCTTTGGCATTAGAATGCTTCCCAATTAACTTGAGAGGTGCATCTAGAGGTGGTGGGCTCTGCAAGAAAGCAGGTATACATATTTCAAGATGCTTAAATGCATGGCTGCATAATGTATGTTTTTTTTAGTCCTCTGATACAATTCCAGATAATGTGCTAAAGAAGGAAGAACTAGTACCATGTGCCGAATGAGGGGCCAATTTATTTCACGGAAGAAAGGATGTTCTTTTATCTGATTTGCACCTCCATTTGAACCTAAACGGCTGGCAGGATCCCTATGTAACAAGGCATTGATCAACTGCCGCCCTGCAAGGCTTACCTGCAGTCCATCAAATTCAGTTCATTTACAATAGATGTTCAATCTATTATGTTCGAATTGAAGAGAGAGACTAGAGTTTCATCTGGTTGATAAAAGTCATTGCTGATTAGAAGTCCTAAACGTGACAGACTAATTTCTTGACATTGTATAAACCAAAACACATGGTTAATCGCATATTCTTCTCTTTCTCCTTAAATTTAGGATAACATAGGTAGACGTCTCAGATAGTTAAGTTAAATACAGCAAGCTGGTTGCTAATATAGACCCTGAGAAATTTGATTGGAGGGAGACTATTTGTCATACGCAAGATATGATTATACCGGAATACTACTGGGGAATGTGAGGTCTTTGTAGAGGATGTTGGCAAATGTCTTCTGCCTATTCTTTCCCCTGAAAGGAGTACGGCCATAAAGCATCTCATAGAGCAAGATACCTGAATGCCAGGTTAAGAACAATCAGAAGTTCTGCACAAACAAAACATCCTAAATTCTAGATGATGTTAACCATAAAGCAGATTAATCAGCCTAAAGTTACTCAACCATGCCATAGAAGACAAACAAGACATTGCAAAGCACATGGCAACCAAGCTCCCATCAGATTGTTAGAAATGGGAATGAGATTTCTCAAACCAAACAGATTGTTAGAAATGTAGGTACTGTACATCATAAACTCATTCCCCACCTCCCACTTCTAAGAAAGATGAGGTATGATGCAGGAACTGGTACACAGAGAACTGGTGAAGGAACAGTGATATCACACATTTGTGTTATACTTACCAACAGCCCACCAATCAATAGCACTACTGTGGCCTTCGCCAGTAATGATTTCCTGAAAGCAATACATCTGTAAGTATATGCTTAATAGGTCAACAAGAATGAATTATTGCTGCATCGCTTGTATAACGTCATAAGGTGATTGTGGTTATTTTTTTTTATTTTTATGAAAAGGGAGGCAATGAAACAAAGCAAACAAAAATGATACAATTATATTTTACTTTTATGAAGTTCCTTAAAACTTCATGTCTTGAGCATTGTGCCTTTAGTAAGACTCAGTGCAATTAACAATATCTCCCTGATAACATGTCAAACAATAGGTCGAACTGAGCAAAGTAATTCGTTTAATTATAATTTCCAACAGGATAAACAGTTATCTTGAAAAAACATTGCCTCCAGAAAATAGGAATAAAACTCAATTGATCACCTTCTCCTTTGTCCTAATGGTTCCATTTGTTGCCAAAAAAAAAAAAAAAACCCTCAATATATCAATGCTTTTCCTTTTTGTAAATTGAAGAAACCTCCAAAAGCTTCAATTACAACTTATTACAAAGACTTCCTAGAAGTGTTGAGAGAATCCCAACATGATACTTTGTTTTCTTGGCTACTGAAAATTGAGTAAGATAATTGCATGGAAGATTGAGTAACTGACTAATAACTAGATGGAGTGATGACTGATAACTAGAAGACATATTCAGCATTTCAAATGTTTCTATCCTTTAAAAATATACAACTGGAAGATTAGGAAACAGAATATAACATGGTATGGTGATGCATATTTTTTCCTACAAGAAGATAAAACGCATTGAAATTATTTTTTCATGAACAATAGTCTCCACAATAGGAGAAGAAGCAATTTGCAAGACTACTACGGTAAATATATGAAACAGAACCTCCAGCATATAAGAGGCTCCAGGAAGGACAATTTAATATACTCGAATGATGCAACATACCGGTGCAATGTACTCTTCCGTTCCAACAAAAGAGTTTGATTGTGAAACTGGTTCTGCAACAAATAGTGGTGGTTGTTCACTCCTAGATCTTCTTCTCTTGGGTGGCGAATGCTTTATAATCTGAAATAAGTTTATTTGTGGCAGCAAAGGTCAGTGATGATCAGCTCCAAGACATTTTAACATCGTGATAAAGATACCTTAGCACCCAAAATATATAAAGTGCTGAGGTTTTTTATGCAATAATTAGACATTAATATATAAAATTGAACTCTGAAAATGTATGAATCATCATTCCATATGTATTGAGCTCTAAATGAATGAGAGAGACAGAGAGAGAGAGAGAGAAATCATAGTATTTTCTGCAAGATGTTTTCCAGAAATGCTGAAAATGGAGTTTCATGAGGTTATTTGGTTCATAAAAACAAATTTATGAATAATGGTAGGTGTATTCTCCTAAATCCATGGTTAATGTCACAGTGGGATTAACTATTTGAGAATGAAACGATTATCTGCTCATAGGAATACACATAACATTAGGAAGAAATGCATACTTGGGGTTTACAGGTTGTCTTAAAGGATAGATCAAAGTCTGTTAATACAACATGCCCATCCTTTTCGAGTAGTATATTTTCTGGTTTTAGGTCTCGATAAATGATCCCTGTAATACAAGAAAAAAAGAAAACAAGCAATCATTTCATTAGAACAAGCGCTATTCTAATACAGGTTCTTACTGATTTCTTTTATGTAACACAAAATCTTGATAGAACCATAAAGACATTGTGGATAGTCGTAAAAACTTTTAAAGGGCATGCCCTTCAAATTGTTCAGTGTTCACCAATCTACTTCTATGTTCTACCTTATCGAGACAAGAATAACACTCTCATCTTTCCAACCGGTGAATTTGTTGGAGTGTACTATAGCGAGGAGTTAAAGTATGCAAGAGGCCTAGGCTACACTGTGCTCCCAATCTCAGGCTACCTCTTTGAGAAGATGAAAAGTCCATTCAGGGACTTTGTTAGCTCACTCTTTGAGAGCAGGTTAGAGGCAAGGAAGTCAGGTAATAAGCGAAGGTACTTGAGCGAAGGTAATTAATTTGATGAACAGTAGGAAGTGCCAAGCTGAATGCAGCCCCAAGATGTGGACAAGGACTTGTTTGAGCAATTTGTCCAAAACAAACTAAAATTGTTGTGTATCACTCTAAGGTTGTGAAAATCTCAGGAATGCAAGACGGTATCTCTTTTGTCTTGGGGTCATCTAGATCAATAGTAATTCCACATGATATCCCAGATTCCATCTTTTAAGTGCAACTATTGCATAATAAGATTCAGTTTTGTTCAACATTTGTTGAATGTTAAGTTGATGGTAAAAGCACTCGATGTATCAGACCTCAAACTCTACCTGACAATTCATTTAAGCATTCCAGGTATTCTTCATCACCAAGTTGAAATTAAATAGCTATGAAGATTTTTAGACGAAAACTAGGAAACTCACTTAATTAGTTAATTGTTCAAGAAAGTAAACAGCGTCTAATAAACTTTGAACAATTACCTAAACAGTGGAGATATTCCAAACCTATTACAACCTCTGCTGCGTAGAACCTGCGGAGCAGTAACATTGACGAGGAAAAGGCCATTAATTTACAGAAATAAATTCCTCAATGGATTGAAAGTAAATACTCAAGTGGTAAAGAAAAGAAAGTTTTAAGTCAATAACTTATAGCCAAGTACGTGGTATCAAATATAGTCACAGAACTTTTTCCCGGTTGAATGAAACTTGTAAAACATGTCCAAATACACTACATGTTAAACGAACATAGCCGATTTTTCATCTCAAATTTCTTGTGACAAAGCGGGAAGGTACTTTCTTTAATCACTTCAAGTAGAGATACAACCAAGGGAAAGACACCTTATCCCCATTCACCTATTTAAAACTAAATTAATCTTGTATGTTTGCCTGATATTCCTTTGTATAATTGTCTTATTTGCTGCCGCTTTGGGATATCTGGGGATTATTTGGAATCAAGGAGCTTAATATCTTACTGTTCTTAAATTTCACTTTTATGACTTTGGCTAGTTGGTGGAAGTCTAAAAACAAGTTAATCTGGCACCAGGCACCCAGCATTTCTTGCAAAGCTTAGGTACAACATAGAAATGGAAGAGCTCCAATCCAAGAGCTCCTGTTGATAACCTTTTGGCGTTCGATACTGCTATGTTATGCGTGTTGTTAATCAATGCAGATGAACCCGTACGTGGTTATTAATATCCGATGTAGCCTAATAAATTAAATAATCTTTATTTGAAGTTAAGGAGCACATTTTCCTAACAGGTTTAGAAACTAAAAAGGCCATTCATTCATTTTAGTACGGTGTCTCTGAAACTAGCCTATTTTTTGTGCTCAAAAGTCTGATATTGCCAGAATCTTGTAATCATATCCATTGTTTTGTGTTTGTTCGTTGTACACAAGTTGATGAATTTGGAACAGGAAGATTTCAATGCTAACCAATCTTCTGATCCTTATTCTCCATACCATAACAGGCCGTATGGGAGTGAATACTTTCTTCAAACCCAAAATCAGCAGAGATGAAACTCAACTAGTATCAATAGCAGTAGTTGTTGATGTGATTTTGCCATCATAAATGGATGTATAGAAAGAACATACCTTGCTGAATCCTCTCTGAATGTCTTCATAGGCTGCTTGTCAAGCAACGCAAATAACTCTCCTCCAGGACAAAAGTCAGTTATTAAACAGACATGTGTGCGTGTCTGGGGGAACAAAGAAATGTTAGTCCTTCTCACCTTGTACTAAGTTATGTTCAAACAATATAGCATACCAATCTCTTAAAAAAAAAAAAACACAGAAAGAATAACTTGTATGGAGTTTAGAAGCCTACATCAAACCAAAAGACCAAACATACAAAATTAGCTCAAACTGAAACAGAAGGACAAATACAGACAACAATTTTAGGAATAACTTGAAGCACAAATGCAATTCTATCAGTTCATCAAAGTGCCAAAAGGAAATTAATTGTAATCAGGGATGGATCACTATTTCTCCCAAAAATTTAGAAATCACTTTATGAGTTTCGATGTGTTAGTAATTTTGTTGGACTCAATGGGATTTATGTCAAACTAGCTTTATGCATAAATTTAGCAGTTACAATAAGAAAAATGAACTAACATCCAAAAAGCCATGGAAAATACATAGTATTCTTTATAAAGGAGAAGTGGAGACTATATGTAATGTACACTTTGTAGCTGTATGCAAACGTTCATGTAGGACTGGAATATTCTGATGTAACTAGGAATAAACCAGGCAGGGAATATATGATGCAAATGTTTTATTGGTTGTTATGCCATCACAAAATTTCAGCTCGGGAGGCATGTTGAATGAGCTTAAAAATGCTAAACACTTTCTTAGGGTAGCTGTTCTTGTCTATTAAGGTATTCAGAGTGTATCCAGAATAAAATCTTAAAATGTGGAAGAAAGTTTCTGATTGACGCTAGGAAAATGAAGCAGTTGAAAGACAAAGAAGTGCATGCAGAAGTATTTCAGATCTAATGCTAAAGACTGAAAAGTGTGGATATGGAAATCATCCACAACCCTTAAAAATTGGAGGCTAAATAAAACATGAATAATTATTTGCTAAAACAATTAGACAATTAGGACTAAGAGACTAGACTTGCGACAATTCAAGTGCCAAACAGAATTATGGGATGGCAAAGTAGATTGAATTATGCTTAGAATTCATGAACGAACTTATTTGTTTATGTAATTCCTGCTTTTAGCTATACAACTATCTATAAACTTGAGCAATGAAGAGTAGTAAAATCAAACCTGAAAAGATGCGTACAGCGTTAGAAGGAATGGATGATCTAGCAGTGAAATGATTTCCCTTTCAATGCATGCTCTGTGAACCTGCACATATTCATCAGTCTGCTTAGGGCTCAAAAGTTGGGAACCCTGTACCGGTGCTGATTCCATAGCAGGGAAGAAACTGTTTCCATGGATTTCAAAGTTCAAAATTTTGGATAGTAAGCTATCATGTCCTCTGAACTGAAGACAAACAATGCAATTTTATGGACAACTTAGTGATTACATTTGTTTAGTGATGCAAAATGGTGGTTCTGCATGTCTGCATCTGAAATGGAAGAATCAGCAATTACAAACTGTGATCTTTAATCACGTCTATGGCAAGAAAAGATGGGGACGGACACTCTTTGCATGAATTTTGTGAAAATAACTTTCTATTAAACTTGCTGGAGTCTGAGTGACACGTTCCCTGATGTCCAGAATAAGATAGTAAACCAGTATATATTTCTCTGTTATATTTCTAGTCACTGAAACCAGGTCAAATATTAAATTATGCATTATGGAAAAAGCCAAGCTATGTATTGAAAGAAATCAGTAACGTTTGTGTATGAGCTTGTGACTTGCCATTCTAACCTTGTTACGGTTCATCATTATAGATTTATCCATTGCCTTCATTGCATATAATTGACCTGATCCTTTCAGTTCCACCAAATGAACACTGCATCATTCATCATTAATATCAGTTCAGATGATATGATTAGGAAAGTGTGTGATATCATTTCAAGCTGTTCATATTTGGAATATGGAATGGACAACTGTATGATGCTTGCCAGTTGAGCAGAAAAGTTTGTAAAGATCGCTTGAAAAGAAAGCACCGGAAACAAAGCAATTACATCCAAAAGTCCAGAAAATTAGAAAGAATAACTCTCCAAGTCACATGACAACCTGGACATCGAAAGGCTTTCAAATTCCAGGATTATCAATGGATTATTCTATGCGAAGATATAGATCATTCTATCATAGAGATTAGTCCACTCGCCCTTAAGTTCATTCACTGACTTCCATCTGTCATACACTTTGAATGAAATATAATCATGTGCTGATCACAACAGCAACAAAAATAAAATAGTTCCTTGATGCTTACTGATTTTGAGCAAGATATTAATCATCCAAGGCACAAGCAAGAAAAAGCATAGCAGCTACAAACAATAGTAATAGTAGTCATTGTGATCAAATGAATGATCTTTTGTTGAATTGAAATCTTCGAAAGGGCATCTAGTACTAACTATAACATCAAAAACTCAATATTAGTAGATAAAACCAGTGTGGCAATGACAAATTGGAATTCAGTGGACCATTGACTAGTCTTGCTTATAGGAAGGCATTTTTAATGCAAACCTGCCAGTGTCTCCACATCCCAAGGGTCGTATTGGTTTAAAATGATGAAGTCCAATTCTTTCACCAGTTGCCGTGATCTACAAGACGAAAGGGACAAAAACGGTTATTCTCAAAAAGCAAACAACTCTAGAATCACTAATACGTGACCTGGAATGGTGATCTAGCCTCCAAATCATGTGTGACAAACAAATAGGAGTTGTTTTACTGGCCCTTTGGACTCTACTCTTTGCAAGAAGTAACACATTTCCCACACCTTATGGAGGAAAGGATTTTTATAAGATGCTTGAGGATGCCGGATAATAAAAAGAAGAAAAAAACCAAAGGAACTCTAGACAACAAAGAGTAAGTTGGAAGAACCAATTCACTAAAGCTTATGAAAGAGTAGTACTATTACTATTACTGACATAAGATCGTGTCACTTTTATTCAGATGTAACAGGTTATTATTTCAGTACGAAGAGCAAGTAAACAGAAGAATCTCCTGAAGAAATTTTAGTTCCAAATTTTGACTGCAACAAGTCTTGGGTTTCTTGCTCTCGAAACAGTAAATTTTCACATATGTATAACTCTAATAATAGAATAACCTGACATGTATGAATATTTATGATGACAATGACTCCATAGCTCTAGTTGATAAAACATTTACGGAAAAAAAAAAAAAGAAAAAGAAGTACTGTTGCACCGAGCCCTAGATTAGGTCTGATATTATGCTTGCTTCCAGATTCAAGAAAGCTTAGTAAAGGCCTAGAAACTGAGAATCTAAATGCTGTTGCACCCGGCACTAGAAACTTATGAAAGTGTTCCTGGAACTTCTCTTGCTTAACCATTTTCAATTCATTGAAGCAATGCTTGTTTCTTGGAATAAATTCTCAAAATCCTTACCTTCTGTATTGCTTCCCAATAAGCATTATACTTTTTGTGAGGCCTTGGATAGACAGGTTGAGAGTGCACTGCCCATAAGTCTTCTGGTCTCTGAAAGGAGGCAGCATGAGGATTTGTAAGTGATAACACAATTAATAGCCTAGATAGAATAGATACTTCTGGCAACTGTTTGCAAAAGAAAATTCTTAAATTCCCAAAAGTTTTATCTGAAATATAATTAATGAAATCTACTCTAATGCTTTTCTTTGCAGTGCATTTTGATCATCAATTCTTAACATCCTTGATAACCAAGTGATACATTTCATCAGTATAATAAGTGGTCTAAACATATAAGAAATATGTAAGGGTATGCCTTCATTCTTTTACTCAATTTTGTGGTTTATCAACCAAAATCCGATCTAAAGACAAAGGAATACCTTACCAAGTTGGCATCAGGAAGTTCTCTTACAGCTTCATCAACATTTTCTGCTGTAGCTTTGACCTGGAGCAAGTAAGGATCTTCAGATTCATATAAAATCTGATCACTTAAGAAGTTGCTAAAAAATGGTAATCCTATTAAAAAAGAATAGATCCATTGCCTGCCTTAACCGCACATAATAAATCTAGAGCCATAGCATTAATACAAGATTGTTTTCCTTTGTACCAATATTATCACTTCTCTGAGGGTCAATTTCATATGCATTTTCCATATAAATTGTTATTTTGCAAATATGTTCCGTTCTTTTTTCTTTCAACATTGTCTGACATGCCATGACTTAATTGCTACTAAAGTAAAAAAATTTGAACAACAGGGCATAACATTAGGCAAACTAGGAAGTATTGAAAACATCAAATATTTCAAGTCAAGAAGAAGCTTGCCATTTCAATCAAGTCCACATACACACATTCACTAATCCAGGTATTTGTGATTGTTTAAGAACGGTAGAATTATCCTCAGAAGAACAGTAGAACTAAGCCTTTTCTTCTTTCAAGTACAACATGCAATGATGACAAAAATGAAGAAGAAAAAGATGATTGACAACACGAAAAAAGACCAAGATCAAGACCAGAACCCAATTCACGAGCAATTTACCCAAGTGATTTCAAAGAAAACGAGGAAACAGCTTTCAAAAAAAAGGTAAAACAATGCAAACACGTTAAGGTGTCAAACCAAATTCCTATGCTCGCTCACAATCCCACAAATGTGGGGCACTCTCATGTGGATGATTTCGTTTGATTGATCTGTTATGTATTTAGAACTCCAGATTTTTCCATATGTGCGTATTATTGTTGATCCTTAGCTGTCTCTTTTACTTTAACAGAGGTCAGGTTTGGCCCCCCACTATTTCACTGTACTCTTTTTCGATATAAATAAATTAAGGGATGGCATCCCGACCCCAATTTGGGGCTTTGCCAAAAAAAAAAAAAAAGAACAGTAGAATTATCTTGTTAAATAGTACATGCCTCTTGGTGTTTTCTGTTCATGTTTCCTCATTTTATTTATTCTTTTTCTACTTAAATGAAAATCTGAACCACAGCTATTACATAGTACTGTTCTTTAGAAACCTTTTACAATAACAAATACATATCAGGAATGATCTCTACCTCTGACTTGTTTGTTAAAGTCATCTACCAGATGTGTTTTTAAGGATGTATAGCAACATGAAGAGAATCCAGGCACGAGGGATAGTGAGAACTTGGAATAGCACTCCTAAAGAAATTTGAAGCATGAAAAGAACATCCCGGAGAACTTCATAAAACAGAAAATTACCAATTTAGAACTTTTCTGTTCAGTTGTTTCTGAGAGTCGGTTTCTTAGGGGTTCCACATGATCACTTCCATCTAGTTGGACACCAATGAAGTATTGAAGTTCTCCCTAAAATTGTTAAAAAATGCTTAAGATAGGAAACCAGAGATGCAGGTACTGCATGTAACAAACCACTTGGTACAGGCCACATTGCTCACCTTTTGATCACGCATAGGTTGCAGATGAAATAAATTCCAGAATTTCTTTCCTGCAGTGTATTTGTATGAATAAACAATTAGGTGAGATCATAGAGTATATTCAAGAATTAGATCCAATTCTGTCCACTAGCACAAAAGATGTTAAGTTTACCACTCTTAGTATAGTTAATCAACTGCACAGTAATTTCCTTTTGTTCTCTGATGGCATCTCTTATCCTTGAAACAGTTGCTTGATCTGTCTCTGGCCCCTGAAGGAATCTGCAGAAGTATAAAAACTTAATCAGATAATGCTGCTACTACGAGGAAAATGCTTTACCGAAAAAGACATTGACACAGTAAGGACAGATGGAAAACAGCATAAATTTCTGAGGTGAAGTTATATGACACCAATATCAGAATGGTGAAAACCATTTGCTTGTGACCATTTAAAAGACCTGTACAATGAGGAGGATAATGATTCCGTAAATCTACCAATAAAGTTGAATTCAATAGCCATATTGGCAGAATCAATCATGATGTATCAGCATCGGAAAACAAGGTACTTTGATATTCTTAAAGACCATGATACATAAGCTCACGGTAAATCAAGAAAACTTTAAACTCTGAATGTAACGGGATAGGGAAAGAGGGCCTGAGTTGAAAGCAGCAAAGCAGTGAGGCAACCATGAATAATTTATTTTAGTTTTGACATATCTTCTTCAAGCTCAATTTATAGTTACTATAAAGTGCAAAAGACAGAGAAACATTCACCAGCAAAACCAATATTATATAGTCTTTTAATTGCAATAAAAAGATTATTTAAGGTAAAAATTCATACCTGCAATTTCGTCCTAAAATTTCTTCACGCGTGTACTCAGTCAATTCTAGAAAGCTATCAGATGCAAAAATCTGCAAAGGACACCACAGTTTTAGTTGAAATTTCACACAAATACCAGTCTAAACTGCAAACTGAAACAGGTACTTTGCTTCCCTGACAGAAAGAAAGGCGATAAAAAGGCAGTAGTGCAGCTGAAGATAGAAACTGAAACCTTGTAATGTCACAAACACTTACAATCTCAGGTACTAAAACAATTGAAGTGCACTCAACTACAGTGATCCTATTTATCTCAAAAAACATGATTGATCTTACAATTGGATTATCAGGAAGTCTGGGATCTGTAATGACAAAATTCTTCTCAATTCGTTCCAAAGTAGTTGCTAGGTCTATTCCTTGACGAATATCCCTATCTCTTTCAGCTCGTTCCCAACTGTCCGTTCTTTCTATGTCTCTTGTCATCAAGATTTCAGGCTCAATGATTGGTTCCTCCCTTCCTGCATAGCTCGCTGACCTCAACTTAAACCTACTGAAAATCAAGCACATTTGTTTAGACTGTATCCTTAATTATGAAGTTTACTAAAATTAAGGAGCTTTTTGCTACTGCCTAAACTTGTTTATCCCAAAAAAAAAAAAAGACAAACAAGACACTGCCACCCATATGCAGATTCTTTTATTTTGTGCAGGACGTAACTCTATTAAGGCATACCAATTTAGTACATTTCTTCTGGCCTTATGATATCAGAAATTAAACATTGTATCATTGAATTCAGTAGCTCTGCTGATCTCATATACAACATGGCTTCAGTTACAATGTTATATCGCTGATGACAGAGATAAATCTTACTACCATTTTGATGATATTCTAAAATATTTCTTTCCAAAAACTACATGGAAAATTGGATAGGGACCTTATCCAAAATGGTCCGAAACCTATTCGTTTGAAACATAACTAGGAACAATTAACTGTTCAATATCAAAGATGAAATAGGGTTTCTATAGCAAAACCAAACTGCTACGTCTTTTTGGTACCTTGTTTAAAATGCTTGATTTCAACAAAGAATAACAGGTCTGTTGCCTTTAATTTATCTCAAACCTGGGGAAGCAAAAAAGACTAGCTACTACTGTTCTAGTGCCAACGATGAAAATAATAAGGGACTTCTCTAACCTAAAAAGGTCTCCAGAATTATCTTGACTATCCTTCTTATGGATTTTAATCGTTCAAAACTGGGTAGAGGTTGAGAGACAACAAATAGAACACGTGAAATGGTATACCCCATTAACGAAATGCGCGCTGACTTTCTTGATTTTTTGCTGAAGTCATGGTGTGGAGTTTGTCTACCAGATGTTGCTACATTCTCTGTTACAGCTGGTCCGGGAAGCATATAATCAATATTAAACTTCTCACTTTCAACCTTGGCTGTAATATCATGACTCAATGACCGGATGAGAGAACGTGGATGTTTTATGGTTTGCACGACCTCAGTGATGGATCCTAAGGCGTTTTCCTTCTGACGAGCTGTTACATGCAGACAGAAAGGATTTTAAGATGCAGAGATGTTGTTGAATAACAAAAATAGCAATCGTATGCACCATCATATCGGATTAATGACTGGGGAAGCCCATTTGGTCGTACTGCACTGTCAGCTATACCCTCAGTGTATTTGCTGACCTCAACCTGCATTCTGCCAAAAGGTACTGAACATATAAGACCAGAAGCATAGCAGAAATTACCTAAATTACTCAGCATTGCTCAAACGTTACCACAATTGAATGCACTAACAAATTCAGATTTTACCAATTTCAAACGGACTCTACAGTGAAAGTCAACAACCTCCAAGCTGAAAGGAGATGCAATGAAGTATAGTGACACGAAATGCATGAAATTACTAAATGCTGTTCTAGCTTAGAACGTTCTATAGAGGATAAGGTCTGTACTAGTTTACTTGACTTAGCAATCTGGCTCTTGAATATCATACAAGCAAAAACTTACATGCTTACCACAGTAGGAAATCTGAGGGGAAATATCTTTTAAATGGAGAAGAAGACTGGACAATAGGACCTGAAGTTCATTAAAATATATCCTACTTAGTTTTTCCAAATTATTAGACCTCTAGAATACAATGTCAATTTTTAAAAATAAACTTCCAACCTGTCGTCAGGAAAACTAAGAATATTAATTATTATTTAAAAAGGAGAGATTTAAAAATATGCAGATGATGAAATGATTGCATCTGTTAAAGTTGAATCCCTACTATGTATAGAGCCGAAAGCTCATATTTGTTCAAAAGATGATCCAATACGAAAGCTACTATTTGATTGCCCAGATTTTAGTAACCTAAGCTTGTGATATTCATCCATATGCTTTATTTGAGGAGAGGAAACTCAGTAGGAAACATATTTGTCACTTATGGCTCTTGGAATGGTTTTTCATCTAGTGACCTTCATTGCTCCGAAATCCATTATGTTCACACTGCAATATCACAAATTAATGCACCAAATCTGGAAAACTCTTTTAAAACTTTGAATGGGAAGAATACCAATGAACAAATTGTCAATCTCTGGATGCCTCAGAAATGTTATAAGGAGCTAATTACAATGGTTGAAGTCAGTGAGAAACAGGACCAATGTGAGTAGAAATTACCATAAACTGTTCTACGAAGAATCAGAAAATTAGTCACTTCTCGCACAATAGAACTTAAACTAACAAGGAAACCAATTAATACATATCTAGGAAGCCAGAGGTCCAAAAAAAAATCTTCAATAAGGAAACTTTCAATTGCAAATGTGAAACAGATTGGATACTCTGAATTGAAAAGAGAAAAGACTATCTTTACCCTATAAATTTTATAGCCCTCCCACTGTCATCTTTGATTGGGGTGATTGTTAGCAGATTCCAAAATGGGGTTCCATTCTTCTTGTAGTTCAAGAGCCTTCCACAATAACTTGATCCTGTTCTTACAGCAGTACGTATCTTTTCTACCTCTTTAGGGTCTGTATCTGGTCCCTGTAGAAAGCGACTGCACCAAAACAAAGAACAACATCCATCAATAACCTTGAATATCCTCCCAAGATTTGATGTGACACCAAAAACAATGAAATATTCGATATGCGTTTTACGGTTATAAGAGATCACAGTGCAAAGCACATTCAACATTAGTGACTTTGACTTGTCAGGAACCATGCAGCTGCCAGTGTATTCTAGAATTATAGGTGTTGAAGGGTTTTAAGTGCTATATTTTAATATATCACAGAGAATAGTGGTGCCTGACCTGCTATACATTAATCTCTGGTCCATCATTTCTAACTTAAATAAACATTAGCCAAGAAACGAAGAACACGAAATGTATTTTAGAAAGAGGGGGCTTCTAAATGCTGTAGGTCTGAACAAGTCTGAGTTTGTGTGTCAATATGTACTAAGATATTCAAGAAATTTGAAGAGTTCAAATGATGTTCCCTGACCTATTGAACAATTATTCACCGACATTTCACTGTTGATGGAATGAATAAACTTGTTTTGCCTGAAAACACCTTTAGTACGAGTCTTCAGTAAAAATAAGATGAGAGTAACAGGTTCTTGGCAGAAATTTTAGTCCTGCAACACTGTCCAGTGATACTTGTACGCCCCTAAGCAGAAAATGGTAACAAATAAGGGGGCATGTTTGTTAGCTGCCAGATTTCTGGGACTAAATTATGATCAGTCTAATGATCAACATAATCCATGAAAGCTCATGCTCCTACTATTTTTGAGACTTTCAACGCCTAAGAACTTTATGTTACATACATCTGAAATCAAATGTAACCTTACCAGTTCCTCCCAATAACTTCCTTTGATGAATACCCAGTCATGCTGAAAAAGCCACTGCTAGCATACATTATAGGACAGTCCGGCTTAGTTGCATCAGACACAACAAAAGTCTGTTGCAAAGTCGCTAAAGCATCCTTTAACTCCTGAGATACTCTTGGAACAGGAGCTTCAGATTCGTCTGACGTCCTCCTTGAGTCCGCCAAGAATTTATCTGATGAGCCCTTGCTTCTTTCTCCATCTCCGAAAGAATTATTTTCATTCATCCCTATTGCATGAAAGCTACCTTCTCCCACATCAGTCCTGACCACCAGTCCCCATTCTGCAGTCCTTTCAGCTATGCTAGCTCCTGAGAGCACCCGATTGCTTCTATTGCCTTGTCCTTCATTCTCCTTCTCCCTTACCTCATCAGCATTTCCAGCAGTAATCTCTGATTTTTTCCCTTCTTCCTTAAAAGCCATCCACTTATGCCTAACACCCGTCGTACTTCCAGAATTCCCCGATGCCTCCCCTTGCATTCTCAGTACTTTCACATTCAATCCCTCATGCTTCCTATCAAATGATTTTCCATCATCATGACTCACTGATGGCTTAAAAACATCGATGGGTCGTCGTTCACATGATGACTCCATCCACTTTCAATCAAACTATCACCATCTATAAGAAGTAACCAGGAGCATCAAATCAGCCCCACTTTTCTTTCATCATCAAACATATCAAATCAACATTATCTTGCAATAACACAACTAAAATCAACCACCCCACCAAAAAAAAAAAAAATTTCTAGCCACCCACTTTTCTCTCAGCTAAACTATAGACTAAATACAGTCAAGAAAAAAGTGACAATCTAATCGACACATTAGTAATATTTCATTTTTCTCATTTTTTGGGTACAATACAAGTAAAAGTGGATATATAGGCTACAAAAGATTGCAAAAAATTTATTGCAGAGCAGATTGGATTGTGCTTCAGCTAGTACTGAGTTTTTGGTTCAGAGCTTCGAGCTAGGCTTAATTGGACATGGGAAACTTGAAACAGAAACACTAGATATTGGAAAGATAACGTTCACAGGATTAACAGAGCCTCAAATGGTGCCATGTAACCAAATCTTGGCCGTCTATTTTTGGGACAAGGGTTGCAACGGTAGTTGGTGACAATCGTTAATTTTTCTAACCGTTTCTCGCGCGCTTCGCTATCAGTTAAAAAATCTCGATGAAATGACAAAAGAAGCCTTGTGACTCTGTGTTCCTTAAACTTCCACGCTAGGGACTGTGTTGTTTTCTTGCATTGAAGGGTCCATAACTTTCAACAGCGCAAAGAAACACACGCACCCATAATTGAAGGGTCCATAACGGGGCTGAGAAGTCGTGCAATTATTGAAGCCTTTCATAGCAAATTCCAAAAAAAAAAAAAAAAAATCTAGCAAATTCATAGGAAAAAAAAGGTAAGTCACCATTTACACATGATTAGGTTTGAGAATCTGTCCTATAATCTATACTGCTGCCAAAAGCACATGCGATGTGTGTATAATTCAGAAATGCCTTTCTTACAAATTAATTCTGCATAAAACTTTCATTGCTGGAGAAAACTGTAGTGTTTTAACCTTTTCCCATCAAATGATAGTTATTTTGGTAGTTACAATACTTATAGGCAGTTATTTTATCAGGATGTGTTCAGATAGTAATGGTTAAAAAATACTCCCTCCGTCCCATTGATAGTGTCATACTTTCCTTTTTTGGCTGTTCCAAAATATTTGTCACTTGCTAAAAATAGTAAAGACTTATCAATCACTTTCACTCTTTTACCCTTTTGGTCCCCACAATAATCAAGTTATGTGCGTCCTTTGAGCCCACTTGTTCAGTATTCATGTGTTTGAAAAGCCCATATGAATATGTGCGTAGAGTGAAAAACCATGAGAAACTTGGTTGAAATCTCAGCGTGCAAAGCACGCACAAGATATGTGCAAACAAAACAAATGTTCTGGTCCTACCATCCAGAAGTTGTTTAGGCTTTAATTTGAATTGGCATAACCGATTGCATTTACACGAAGAGCTTGGGCGAGGGACAAAACGGTAAGCAACTCACCTATGCTGGAACTATTCATAAAAAGCACAGTTTTCTAAGTGCGACGAAATTTTTGGGACGGAGGGAGTAGTTATTAATAGTTAGTTTAGCCATAGTTATAAAATTCAGTCCGGTTCGACAATGGAACCAATCAACTCGATGAATCGACTATAGGGTCGGGTTAGGTCACTAATTAAATCGATCAAACAAATTTACTAATTAATGACCCGACGATTCAATCGGTAGATCGGCAAAAACTGCCAGTTAAGCCACCAATTGAACCATCAATTTAAAATTTTTATTATTTTATAGTTTAAAATATATTATTATATTATATAATATGGTTATTGTATAACCCGGAGTTGAACTGGTAACCCGGTGACTAATCACCTCTCTAGGTAGAGCTCCAGGTTAGGTTTAATAACTATGATTTTTAGCAATTCATGTGTAACTATTAAAATAATAAGTAGTTTTCATAAGGACAAAGTTGAAAGTATATAAAGTGACAAAAAATATTTATTCTAAACCGCTGTCTCTCCTTTGATATATAGTGTATATAGTATAGATATTAAACATTTTAATTTCAATAAACAGATTGGAACTTAATAAAATGTGTAATATAGATCCTTATATTATAATAAAAAAACAATTTGTTTTCCATTACATTTTGAACATCGTCCTCTCATTAGCGGTTCTTGTCATTTCATTATGGGTTTGAAATACTCTCATTGCATTTTGTATATGGTGTTAATACTTAGAGTTGCGGCGAAATCTCTATGTTGCGCCGTTTTTGAGGTTTGATCATTAAATACTACTTGGATTTTTGGTAATTTTGTCTGCCATCTGCTGATGAATGAAGTTAATAACTCTGGCCATTACTAGAGTTATTTAAGCATGTCCAACTATTGATCTTTCTTCTTCTTCTTGCTTTAGTGTTTTTTCCCCTTCCTTATTGCTTTACATTTGAGGCTTCATCAATTAGGCATGCATTGGCACAGTTATATGGCTTTATTGTTATACGTACTGAGTTGGTTTGCTATTCTCAATTTTGTCATTTTAAATGGACAAAATTTCGTTTGTTGAACATTTTTGCTTGACTCGTATTATAAATTAAATATGGTTTTCAAAAAAATCATTAATCTGATTGCTTTGTGTTAGGAAATTAGTTTAATTTCTTTTAAACAAGTTTCTTGTTTTGCATAGAAGTATGTAGTTTTTTAATTGATTTTAGTTATTTGAAATAGTAGTCAAGAAATTTCCTATTTGTATGAGTTTAGAAATTAGGAGTTATTTCCTAGTATGAACCAGTTTAGGATTTAGCAGTTATTTTCTATTATTATTTAGATATTGGCCAAGTAATGTAACTTTTAAATAGCTGGGGGTTGGCATGTTACAAAGTGGCACACAAGGACGATATGTAACCTGATACATGGTGTGAGAGAGGGTTCTTGAAAAATGAGAGATAGTATACAAGAGTTGGGTTTGAATTCAATTTGTATTCTTGTATAGGTTTTTCTCTCATAATAAAAAACAAAATTTCTTTCCATGGATATAGACTCAATGATGGAGGTGAACCACGTTAAATTTTGCATGACGTTTATCTTTTATGCTTGTGGCTTGGTTCTCATTAAATTGTTGTTGGCTTGATGTCTCAATAGTTGTGTATTCCGTACTTAGATCCCAATAAACTAGTATCAGAGCGAGATTCATGATTGGATCCTGATTGACTACCGAGATAAAATGGATTGGTAACTATTACTAATTCAACAATTCAATGGTTGATATCCTTATTTCAATGGTTTGACAAGAAACATTGATGGTGAAGGATGGGAAGGCGAAAAGTGTGGAGAAACTTGACGGTAAATTTAGGTAGGTGATTTAAGAGTCAAGAAAAAGTTAGAGTCCAATGTTGATTTATAAACGTGAATCAGTGGAGACTTTCTCACAACTCCAATGGTTTATACTTCATCCGGAATGGTTTTTAGATTTGGATTATGTTCTTTAGATGGTGTACCATGTGTTTTGAAAAAACAAAGGAATCTAATTTTCAAACGTTAAAAAACTCTGACAGCTACGAGTTTTATGTTGTAAGTGGAGTCTTGAAAACCACACATGACGAAATAATCTCGAGAATGGAAAGAAATATGATGATTTTATCACTTGAGTGGCTCAATGGTTGGAAATAGAGCTAATTGAATGGGATCCCGAGTTGCAGGTGGTGGTAAGAAAAAATCTTACGAAGAGAAATGATGAATTGAGACATTTTCTCGCAAGTCAACAGGAGGTTAGTTAAGAGTAACTACACATGTTCATTTACCAATTGAATCAATTGGGTGTCGGAAGTATATTGATTCAGATGTGCAGTTCGGTACTATATTATTTGGTAGTTGAAGGCAAATTATTACTAAAAGGAATATTCGCTAAAGTGGAGATTTGTTAAGAAATTGGTCTAATTTCTTTTAGACAGGTTTCTTATTTTGTATGGAGGTAACTAGTTTTCTAATTAGTTTTAGTTACTTGAAATAGTAACTAAGGAATTTTCTATTTGTATGAGTTTAGGAACTAGGAATTATTTCCTATTATGAGCCAATTTAGAAATTAGCAGTTATTTCCTGTTATTATTTGAATGTTGGTCAAGTAATGTAAATTATAAATAGGAGGGAGTTGGCATACTATAAAGTGGCATACAAGAGCAATGGCAGGGTTTTCTCATAAAGTAGGGTTTAATTTTCTTTCATAATAAATAATGAGTTTCTCTCCCTAAATGTAATCTCAATAATGACATCGAATCATATTAAATCTTGTGTGTCATTTATCTTTTATACCTATGGTTTGGTTCTTGTTAAATTATGGTGTGCTTAATATCTCAATAATCGTGTATTCTGCGCTTGGATCCCAATACTTTGTACTTGGTTTATTTCTGAAATAGGTCGAGATTATCATCAAAGCTCCGAGTTTTGCTACATACTTCTAGATAAGGTATGTATTTTTGCACTTTTATTTATAATTTGGTAAAATGAATTGACTATAAATAGCTTTCATATTACCATGTACCTCAGGTTAGAGGTGGGCGCGGGTCGGATACCCATCCCATTCACTATTTGGCTGACCCGACCCGCACCTTGCGGGTTAGCCATTTTCTGACCCTTACCCGCCCTGCATATCAACGGGTACCCTATAATAGGGTACTCGCTGAGATAGGGTCGGGTCAGCGAGTACCCCCCCCACCCCATTTATTATTTAATTTTTTTAAAAAAATTATTTATAGCAATTTAATTTTATATTTTACACATTCATCTAAGATTTAATAAAATTTTTTTAAAAAAAAAAAGTTTCCCACCAAGAAACAAGCATGTGAAGAGAATATAAGATAAAGGAAAAAAATTAAAAGAATTGAAAATCAATAAAAGTTTGAAATAAGTAGCACAATTTTTAATATATATGTTCCACATTAATTAAACTTTTTTCTATAAAATATAAGATCATGGCCTCTACAAATGAATCTTGTAAATAAACTATAGTTTCTCATATTTGTAATGCAATTTGTTCAATAAAATTACTTATTTAGTTCTAATTTATTATT